ATTTTGTAGTTTTAAAATAAATATGAAAATCTATTGTTAAATGTTTTCTATATGAATAATTTTTCGGGAATTTAATCAAACTGTAACAAGTACATTTTAGGCACATCCGGCGACGTATGACGTCACCACCAAACGGCCCGACTGGAGCGTCTCTACGGAAGCCCAGACAGGCCTAAAAGCGTTAACCCCTCCGAGCTCAGAGGTCTGTATTTATTCATCAGCTGAGAGAGAAAATAAACCGTGAACCGTGTTTTTTACAGCTCAGATGAAATAAAAGGTAAATTTATCGCTGAAAGGGGAGTTTGTCGCTGCTGGACAGCCTGAGGACCGGCGGGGAGCAGCGGAGGACAGCAGCTCAGGAGTCCGCCTCAAGGACTGCTGCCTTGCTACGTAGGCATGTGGAAGAAAAGGGCTTTTAGTCCGAAGCAGTTTCCTGGAGTCACCGCTGCTCCCATCAACCGTTTTTAGCTTTTATATGTTAGTCTCTGGGTTTTATCAACTAATTAACTTTTATTCACAGACACAGTTTGTAAAGCGGATTAGAGCGCGTTCAGAGGAATGGCGGGTCGGAGCAGAAGAGCCTGGTTCAGTGTTCTGTTGGGTCTGGTTGTCGGCTTCACCCTGGCTTCCAGACTCATCTTACCCAAAGCCTCGGAGCTGAAACGAGCCGGACAGAAACGGAAAGCTAACCCCGCGGTGTGCGGACTGAACGGAGCTCCGAGGAAGGAGCACGGCGGGCCTTTGTGGGCTCCACAAGTCAACGGTTCCCCGGCCACCGAGAAGCCAGGCTCCGGCCGCAACAACTTCCTGTTCGTCGGTGTGATGACGGCCCAGAAGTACCTGAAGAACCGAGCCGTGGCAGCACACAGGTACGTCCTGTTTTCTCCACACCTGTACCTGACAGGCCTACAGGTTTTTAACCAAACTGAAGCTCATTAATGGTTTTTAACCAAACTGAAGCTCATTAATGGTTTTTAACCAAACCGAAGCTCATTAATGAGGTTTTTATGGAAAGAGTCCAGGAAGTACTAATATACCTCAGTAAGTACTAATATACCTCATTCCTTACATCATAAAATACTAATACACCTCAGTAAGTACTAATATACCTCATTCCTTACATCATAAAATACTAATACACCTCAGTAAGTACTAATATACCTCATTCCTTACATCATAAAAT